GAGCTCGCCCGTGCTCTTGTCCCGCGCCAGCTGCACAAACCCGAACGTCCCGCTGTTCAGGTCCCGGATCTATGGGAGCGAGGGGCAGCAAGGGCGGCGCGGGGGCGGCGGTGGGGGCGTGCGTGCGTGGGGAGGGGGCTGGGCTGCTCCCAATGGAGCGCTGAGGGGCAGGTGGCGGCGCGGGGGCACACCCACCGCCCCGCGCGCGGCCGTTGCGGCCGCGGCAGGTGCGCGCGCAGCTGCCCGGCTGCTGGCACCAATGCGTCAGTGCGCCGCGGCGCGCGGCGATCGCTGCGTCTCGCGCGGCTCCGCGGCCGGGTCGGGCCAAGTGCGGGTGTGCCGCAGGCCCCTGGTGTGCCGCAGGCCTTGTCGTGCAGTAAGCCGCAAAGAACCCATGTGCGCAGCAGCCCCATGCTTTTCGTCACGCCAGGGAAGCCTGGCCAACAGCAGCACTAGTGTGGAATGTGCACCCAGATCGGCCCAGTGTGCGCCTCGGTCGCCAGTTGTGCCTCACCTTTTCGTAGCGTGGGTGGCCGAGCAGAGGCTCGGGCCTCTCGCCGCGCTGCATGGTCCCCGGGTGTGCCCTCCTCGCTCGGAAACGCGTTTGTTCCAAACACGCCACCAGAAGCCAAGTAGAGTACCACCTGGGTCCGCAAAACGTTTATCGAACTACAAAGCGCAGAGCTGCTTCGGAAGCTTGAAAACGACGGCGTGGAGTGCTGCACACAGACACTTTGCCCGGGGGTGTGTACAGGATAACGTTGATCGTGAGTGGGAGACTTGATACACTCAATATGGATAGTTGCGAGCTTCCAAACGTCTGTCGGCTGTTTGCTGTGCCATTTGTCAAGGGTCGCATGTGTCAGAGCTCTGAGCGTCAGAGGGGGGTGCGCAAGCCAGGATGAGATTGCAATGTTACAGCGACCCCATATCATATGGAAAGGAGGCATTCAAGGTGTTCATGGCCAGGAAAAGGGGGGGCACGCGGGAGACAAGGGGTGCCGCACAGGGCGGCATGCGGCCCTGTCATAGTGAGGAGGAGGGTTGGGGTAAGCGAACGATACGGAATGCCTTGGCCGGCCGGTCATTCCTTGCGCTCCAACTTGATAGAGCCTTCTGCAGACCACTCCGCGGGTGACCTCCATAGTGACGCGGCCCTAGGGCGGCCCGAACCCATCGCCGCCACCGGGAGCGTGCAGCACCGCCAGGGCGCCGCCCCGACTGCCCCCACCACCGCCGCCGACGCTGCCAGTGGGCGGCGCTTCCAGCGCCGCCACGCCGCCGCCGCCCGCCCACTCAAGTGCAGGGATCTCCACCTCCTCCCCGTGCTCCGGCGCCACCTCGCCGCCCAGCCGCAGCACCTCCCCCGCCAGCGCCGCCCGGTCCCGCGCCAGCCGCTCCGCCAGCCCCAGCGCGGCGGCCAGCTGCGCCCGCAGCGCCGCCTCCGCCGCCTCCGCCGCCGCCGCGCGCGCCTGCAGGTGCTGCAGCGCCTCGAGCCGCTGGCGCTGGACCTCTGCCTTGCGGTCGCGCGAGCGCCGCGCGGACTCCTTGTTGCGCAGCTTCCGCTGCATCGCAGCGACGTCGGCCGCCCGGCCACCCCTGCGCGCGACGGGCGCCTCCGGCACCTGGGGGGCCGGCGGCGAGCGGGGCGCGGCATGCCAAGGCGCTGTCAGCGGCGCGATGGGGTCGCGGAGGGCGGCTGTCGCCGGCGCCTCCCGTTGCGGCAGGTCCCTCGCACCTCCGCACGCACGCGGCAGCTCAGCAACTTGCCCAGCACGGCCCAGCCCCTTGGTGCGGCTGGCCATCGAGGTTGACCCGATCACAGGCGCCCCCCTCACCCTCAGCGTGGTGTCGGCGCTGAGCTCCGCTGCCTCCTCGTATTCCGCGCCCTCGTCAGCTGCCCCCGCCGCCTTGCGCTTGCGCCCGGCCACGCTGCCGTCGGCCGCCACGCCCGCGCGGCCTGGTTGCCGCTGAGCGTGCTCCACAGCTGCCCCCAGGCCGCCGCCGCTGTGCTGCTGCTGCTGCTGGTCTGCATCATCACCAGGTGCCAAGCCACCCACGACTGTCAGCATTTGGTCAGCCGCGATATCGTCGGAGGGCGACGCAGAGGCCGGGTGGCTGGATGGCGCACGTGCAGGCGGCGCCTTAGGCGGCCGGCCCCTCTTGCGGGGAGCGTGCTGCTGCTGCTGCTGCTGCTGCTGCTGCTGCTGCTGCTGCTGCTGCTGCTGCTGCTGCTGCCGCTCTGTGGTACCAGCGCCGGCATCAGCGCGATCAGCGGCGGTAGGCGAAGTGCTGGGCCCGGCTTCAGCATTTGCTGCTGCCCCGACCGATGTCACATGCACCGCCCCACCATTGCCGCCGCTCGCACGCTGCTGCTGCACCTGCTCAACGCTGCCTGCAGGCACCACGTCGTCCCCAGATGCTGCAGCGCTGGCGGCGCGAGCAAAAGCTGGCGCGTAGGGGTTGAACAGTGCGCCCCCGTAGAAGGGCTTCCGCCCAAAGGCTTGGCCGGCATTCTGGAAGCAGCGAGGGGCGTCAAGGGTGAGTTTCCCAGCTTCGCTGTGCAGGCGCCGCGCAAGCGCTCCGCTGCCATCGCGCCGGCCGCGTCCAGCCCGCACCTGGGCATCTGCCGCCTCGCCAGTCGCGTGCGCGTCCCAGTGCTCCGAGAAAGATCCTAACCAGTATGACAGGGACTCTTGAAAGCGTTCTTGCCCCGGCTGCTGAGGTGGGATGCTGCTCGAGCGAGGCGGTGGCGCCGACAACGCCTGCATCTTTGCTATACAGCTGTCAAGTACCTTCGAGAGTGGAGAGCAAGTAGCGACGCGCCGCTTTTCCTCGTTTTTACACGCTGATCTGGCGGCTTCCGCAGGGACTACCTCTCAGTGCAAAGTGGCGAGTTGAAAGAGCATGTACCCATTCACACTGGCTCAAGGCCGGAAGTAAGAGATAGCTCGGCTGAGTCGCGCAACGGTTTCTCTCGACCAGCTGCCATCAATCCTTCCCGTGCGTGTAAGTTCCATCCCTCATTGGTGGGGCAAGTCAAAATCTCACGTAGATGGCTTTCAACAGCGCCCTCCCGCCCTCTGAAGATCTCCGCCTGGTTCCAGTGTGCCTTTTCTGACACGGCCGTGTTTTCGGGGAAGTCAGCAGTAGTGGGGAAATCAACGTGTAAAGGCAGCAGCTTTTTGCGGTTGGCCGCTGACGCAGCGGTCGCTTGCGACCAGCACGTAATGTCGGCACCGCCCGCCGAGCCGCTGCAGGACCTGGAACGGCCAGCCAGAAAACAGGTGACAGCTGGAGCACCCCTCCTGATCTTTCCTTGCATCCGTCAGGCAGCTGGTTACCTGCTGTGACGCCCGGTCAACTGTTTCAGTACGCCCCTGCATCGGCGACGACCGACCAGCAGGGGGCTGCAGAGACACCTGTGCTGCGCGTGATGAGTGCGATTGCATACTCACATGCGTGCATGGGCATGCTTCACATGAATGCTTCACATGCACACGCACATGCACACGCATTCACGCCACCATTCGACATATCCAGGTCGAGCGCCCGGTCATCACCGAGCCGCAACGCGGCGCCGGCGCCGACGTCAACATCTGGAGCGGCCGCCGCGCCGGCGAGCGCGCCCCGAAGCGCGGCGAGCGCGCGCGCTCTCAGTACCGCTGCCGCCCGGCCCTCGACACGGGCCGCACGCGCGGCAGTCAGGGGCGCGTCGGCACCTTCTGCAGCTACTTTGCGCGCGGCCTCTGCGCGGAGGGCCCGGCCTGCCGGTATCTCCACCGCCTGCCGACGGCGGCGGACGCGGCGGCGCACGTGCGGGACAACAGCCAGGACATCTTCGGGCGCGAGCGGCTGCCCGACCGCCTCGACAACCGCTGCGGCGCCGGGTCCTATGTGAGCGTCGCGGCAAGCATGCGCTAGGCTTAGATGCAGATGCAGATGCAGACTCCCGGGGCGGTTGCCTTTGAGCGCCTTGCGCGCCCGTCCAGGAGGCTGCCGCGGCCGGCGCCGAGGCCGGCCAGCCGCGTGTTGCGCCGCCGGCGCGCAGTCGAAACGGCGGCAGCTCCTGGGCCACGCGCTCGGCTGAACGGGCGACGCGCCGCGTGACGCGCCGCCGCGCGGCGCGGTGTGCGTGTGCCGCGCCGCAGGACCGGGACAGCCGGACGCTGTACGTGGCGTACGGCGGCGCCGGCGGCTACGCGGCCGAAGAAGTCAAGCATTTGCTGGTGCAGGTGAGGCGGGGCCGCGCCGCTTTGCAGCGCACGCGAGGCCGGGCGGCGTCGGCGCGTGCTTGCATGCGGTCGCGCGCGCCTCGCATGCAGATGCATGCGCCTCGCGCACAATCGTCCCCCCTCCCGCCGCCTTCGTCATGTCGATCCGTCCCCTGCCCCCCATCTTTGATCGGCATGTCATGCGGGGCAGTAGACACCTTGCCCGCCCTGCGCCCCCTCCCTCCCTCCTCTCACCCAGAACTTTGGCGTGTGGGGGCCCCTGCGCGGACCGCCGTTTGTCGTGCCGTCCAAGGCGATCGCCTTTGTGCGGTACCACTGGCGCGCGAGCGCTGAGTTTGCCAAGGAGGCGATGCACGGCCAGGGGCTGGACGGGTCAAAGTTCGACGTGAGCAGCGCTGTAGGGGAGGACCCATGTCTGCTGCGTTGCCCTGGGCCGCAAGTGCTGCTGCTGCTGCTGCTGCTGCTGCTGCTGCTGCTGCTGCTGCTGCTGCTGCTGCTGCTGCTGCTGCTGCTGCTGCTGCTGCTGCTGCCGCCGCCGGAGGGGAGCACGCAGGTGTTATGCTTCCAGGGTTTTTGTTCTTACGAGCACGCTCTGCATCAGAAAACGCGGCGCCGCGCGGCACAGCAGGCCTGTCGAACCGCCTGCTCCGCGCCGCCCTTCCCACAGGAGGTGCTCGCGGTGCGCTGGGCGGACGACGACCCCAATCCCGGCGCCGTGGCCGCGCGCAAGCGCGGCGCGGAGGACATGCTCGAGGCGGCCAGCCTGGCGGCGTGGGACGCGCTGCCGGCGGAGGAGCGGCGCGCGCGGCTGGCGGCGCTGCAGCTGGCGCGGGGGCGCGCGCGCGGGGAGGTGGCGGCGGAGTACCCTGACACGGACGCACTGTACCAGCAGCAGCAGCAGCAGCAGCAGCAGCAGCAGGAGCAAGGGCATCACGGGACACTGGGCGGTGCAGCAGCGGGTGCTGCAGGGGAGGAGGAGTATGCATATCCAGACACCGACGCGCAGTATGGTGGGGCGGAGGTGCAGCAGGCAGCGGCGGCTGGCGGCGCCTGGGCGTGGGACGCGGCGGCGGGGCAGTGGGTGTGGCAGTGGGCTCTGCAGCCTGGCGGGGCTGGCGCGGAGTCGGATTGGGAGGCGTATGCGCGGAAACAGCAGCAGGCGTGGCAGCAGCAGCAGCAGCAGCAGCAGCAGCAGCAACAGCAGCAGCAGCAGAAGCAGCAGCAGCATCGGACAGAGCAAGGCCGGCGATTGGAAACAAATGCACCGGAAGGCAAGGACGGCGGCGAAGGCGCAGAGGCCCTGGGCTTGCTGGCAGCCTATGGCAGCGAAAGTGAAAGCGAGGGGGGCGACAAGAAGAGCCCTGCAAATGAACCCCAGGCGTCATGAGGGCCGACTCACTGCCTGCAGCCGCACTGCCGAATACTTTCTTAGCAACCCGTGTGTGCATATTCTGATTACAATGCGGCCACGCATGTTTGTTTTGCAAGAACAGAGAGGAGTGAAGAGACGATTTTTGGAGTTGTGCGCAAGTGCTTTGGGCATTCAGGCCCATTCATCGCTGCCGGCATTCGGCGAGCTTTCCACGCCGCGGCGCAGCTGGTGCTTGCGAGCTTGCCAGGCTCTGCGAGTTGCTGCTGGCGGCACTGTCCCCCGAGGCGATGGCATGGCGATGTGATCGGCATGCCACCGGCCTGCCATGAACTCCGCATGGTGTGCCGCCGGCTGCACCCAGTCTCCCTGCGCTAGCCAGCAGTTCCACTACTGCAAGGCTGCAAGTTACTGCGCTCAGCGGCTGCTTTTAGGTGACACCTTTGCTTTTGTCGTTGATCAAAAGTACATGAAAACCCTGGTGTGGTCATATGGAGCGATACAGACCAGCGCTCAGGTAGCCTAGAGGGGTTGGCCGCATGGGACGGCCGTGCGCCTCAAGCACAAGCTCTTTTCGGGGGCGCGCTGCGCGGAGGTGGGCGGGTTCGGCCGCGCGCCACTTGCTGTTGCTGCCAGAGGGCATGGAACACACGTTGCGTGGATTACAGAAACAGAGGGGGCACCAAATGCAGACCGCAGCAGCTGTCGCCGTCTTCGCCAGTGTGTCTATATATCACTATGGGAAAGAAGCAACAGCATCCTTGAATTCGCTGGGCCAAGAAATAATTGAGCAGCCGCTGGTCGTGCGCTCTCAGGAGCTCCCCGCCCCAACCGCCGCCTCCCCCGCTTGCACACCCGCGGCATGCCCCTGTGCCTTCTGCCTTGCGCCCTGCGCAGCCTCGCCCCCGCCGCGCAGGAAATCGACGTCCACAGCCCCGGCCACGATCAGGCACAGGTCCCGGTTGTACGGCGGCAGCTGCCTCAGCAGCAGCTTCTGCTGCAGCCGCTCTGGCCACCCGCCGCCACGGCCCGCCTCGTCGTCGCTGCCGCTGTCGTATGCGTCATCGTCGAGGGTGGCTGCAGCCACCAGGTCAGCATTGGCATCCTGCCGGGTGGGGTCCACGGAGGTCGGCCAGCAGACCACGAAATCGCCGTGGCCCACCAGGCGGTTGTCAGCCTTGTTGTACACCTGTCCATGGCCATGGCAGGTTGGTGCTCAGACGGTGACAAAATTGAACGCGTTCATGGTTGCGGCGTATGCAACACAGCTTTCCATTCCAAGCGAGTCTTTGAAGCTCGGAATCATGTGCACATGCCGTGCCCGCCGACCCGGCAGCGCCCACGGGGCAGTGATCACCAACACGCGCCACTGCCTCCTGCACGCCATGGAGAGGGGCGGCTCGCCCCAGGCAGGCCCAGCCCATTACTTGACAGCACCGCCACTGCAACCCCCAACCCCTCCCTCTGCCCTCCTGGGTCGGCGCCCATCCCCCCCCCCCTGCATTCTCCATGGGGACCCTGAGCCCCCTACTCAAAAACCCACCAGGTGTTTCGCCGGCACCCCCGCATCCACCAGCCGGTGGAACATCTCGGCGCTCTCAAAGAAGGGCACCGTCGAGTCAACACAGCTGCGGGGTTGCAGTCAGTCGGCAAACCAAGGATTAGATGGATGTTCTGCACGCAGCAACAATCCCCTTCTAACGTAGTAGGACAAGCCTCGCTCTGAACCGCATCCGGCACGCGTGATGCGCTGGGGCGAAAAGTTGGCTCGGGGCGCAGCGTCGGTCCCCCAGGGCTCGCCTGCTCATGAGGACGATGGGCGGCAGGTGCCGTGCAGCTTCCAAGGGGAAGGACGGCACAGAAGCGGCGCCCTCCAGGCTTAGGTCAGCCAGCAGCGCCTCCCTTTCGTCGTAGTGGCCGCCGCCGCGGTCAAAGCCTGCAAAGTGTGGGGGGGGGGAGGGTCGCAAGGGTTGCGCGCGGGGAGGCGAGCAAGACGGCAAAGCGGGTAAGGGGAAGGGGCACAGCCGAGGCGCCATTAGCATGTGGGGGCCGATCGAGTCCAGATGGCCGCGCATCACATGTTCGCCAAGTCCTGAGCTTCTGCTGCAGCAGCAACGGCGGCGGTCACGGGCAAGCAAGTGTGACCCGCGTCCCTCAGTCTCCCGCAGCTCGGGCCGCGCGCCTCGGAGCCCACCTATGCGGTGCGCGATGGCCTCGCCCGCCAGCGGGAACTCCTCGTAGAAGCGCACGAGCAGCTCTCCGTCCTCCTGCTCGCTCTCCCCTCCGCCGCCGCCGCCGCCGTCCTCAGCGCCGCGCCGCCGCGGCCGCCGCGCCGCGCGCCGAGCCTCCCCGTCCGCCCCTGCGGCGCGGCGGGCGCGCCGCAGGGCGGCGGCCAGGATGACAGAGGGGCTGACGGCCGCTGCCATGCCTAGGCCACCTATGGCGCGCTTCATGGTGCTGAGCTCCTGGACCCCCCGCTCTGTTTCGTATTCGTAGTGCTTCGAGATGTCATACACCCCTGCAATACCGACCAGCCGCAGCGGCATGCAGACGTCGGGGCCGCCGCTGGGGCCGCCCCCGCCGGCGCCGTCGGCCGGGGCGCCGCCGCCGCTTGTGGTGACGGCGGTGGCGTGTGCGGCGGCGTGCGCCGCGGCGTGCGCGGCGGCGTGCGCGGCGGCGGCGCGGTGGAGGAGGGCCATCGTGCACAGCTGGGCGCCGGCAGAGTGGCCGACCAGGGACACCTGAGATAGCAGGTGAAGTCGGAGGGGCGACAGGTGTCTGGGGTCCTAACGGACTACTGGACGTGGCCTACCGTTTGGAAAGTTACAACCAGCAGGGCAAGCGGCGCCCGCCTGCTGCCCAGGCCAGGCTTTTAGCTGACGTGAATCGTACTTCTTCCGCCTCAGACCAGGGCCAGATCATGTGTTATGCACACGCGCTCAAACAGGCGCGCGCACGTGCATGCACGCAAGCTCAAGCACCACGTGTTCTCGCGGGCGCAACCCTGCAGACGCATGCTGACGTGGACGCACCTGCGACGGGTCCCCTCCATACGCCTCCGCATTGTCCAGGATCCACGTCAGCGCCAGCCCCACCTCATCCACCATGGCTGGAACCAGGGCGTCCGGGTAAAGCGAGTACTGCAAGGTGGTTGAGGGGCGGTTGGGGGCGGTGGGG